GGACGCACGGGTCCAAAAGTCCACCCAAAGTTGCATTGAGTAACGGTCTTTTACAGACAGGGTTCCACCTGTAGGGATCGTTCGCGACCTCATAACCAGTAGCCATTCACTCCTCGGCACGATTAACACCTTGAGTTGCGGGTTGTTGTTCGGAGTTTTCCTTCCCAAATGGGTTGCCAAGCAACAATAGACAGAGACACGATTGGAAATCAAAGAGAATGACGCTGGTTAAAAAAAAAAAAAAAAAAAAAGTTTACATTCGTTTGTCTTTGCTGTGAAATTTAAAAATAATTTATTGGCCCATCTGTAAATTCCACGATATTCCTTCTTAGAAAGATCGCATTTTCTTTTCATAAATTCATAAATGTAATATGTAAATGTAAATTCCGTTATTTTTTCCAGTCGTTGAAAATAGCGTTGTTTAAAAAAAAAAAAAAAAAAAAAAGTTTACATTCGTTTGTCTTTGCTGTGAAATTTAAAAATAATTTATTGGCCCATCTATAAATTCCACGATATTCCTTCTTAGAAAGATTGCATTTTCTTTTCATAAATTCATAAAATGTAATATGTAAATGTAAATTCCGTTATTTTTAAATCCGTTGAAAATAGCGTTGTTTTAAAAAAAAAAAAAAAAAAATTGCAATTCAGAGACCTTAGTACTTGGATGGGTAATATAATTGATTTGATGGATGCTATAAAAAGAAATACGGCTTCTTGGTGCTGTAATGCATCGTGGAAAATGTCTAATTATTATTATTATTTTGTCTTTTTTTTTTTGTTGATAAACTGTGCAACAGACAATATAGTAGATTTGTTAATTCGTCATAATCAGAGTATTATGATTAAACTTCCAATCAGTCAGTTATGTGCCATGCGTGATACACGCTTAAGCGATCGTGTATATTTCGATACATGACAGATGAGGCAGATTTTTTCCTGCAGTAGGTTGCCATTTCTTTCTGCGGTAGACCAGTTGCCATCCAAGGCCACAGTTTGGGGGTGAGGGAGAAGAAGAGAATTCATAGCTTTCCCAAGGGTAAGTGAAAGTAATGGATTCGACTGGAATTCACACTCGGATGTCCGATTTCTCAATCCGAATCGCTATCCATTACTCCACCGTGCCCCCTCTTATCCATTAATCCACCGCGCCTCCTCTTATACATTACTCCACCGCGCCTCCTCTATCCATTACTCCACCGTGCCTCCTCTTATCCATTACTCCACCGCCTCCTCTATCCATTAATCCACCGTGCCCCCTGTATCCATTAATCCACCGTGCCTCCTCTATCCATTACTCCACCGTGCCTCCTCATCCATTACTCCACCGCGCCTCCTCTGTCCATTACCCACCGCGCCTCCTCTATCCATTACTCCACCGTGCCTCCTCTTATCCATTACTCCACCGTGCCTCCTCTATCCATTACTCCACCGTGCCTCCTCTATCCATTACTCCACCGCGCCCCCTCTTATCCATTAATCCACCGTGCCTCCTGTATCCATTACTCCAACGCGCCTCCTCTATCCATTACTCCACCGTGCCTCCTCTATCCATTACTCCACCGTGCCTCCTCTTATCCATTAATCCACCGTGCCTCCTGTATCCATTACTCCAACGCGCCTCCTCTTATCCATTACTCCACCGTGCCTCCTCTATCCATTATTCCACCGTGCCTCCTCTATCCATTATTCCACCGTGCCTCCTCTATCCATTATTCCACCGTGCCTCCTGTATCCATTACTCCACCGCGCCTCCTCTATCCATTATTCCACCGTGCCTCCTGTATCCATTACTCCACCGTGCCTCCTCTATCCATTACTCCACCGTGCCTCCTCTATCCATTATTCCACCGTGCCTCCTGTATCCATTACTCCAACGCGCCTCCTCTTATCCATTACTCCACCGTGCCTCCTCTATCCATTATTCCACCGTGCCTCCTCTATCCATTACTCCACCGCGCCTCCTCTATCCATTACTCCACCGTGCCTCCTGTATCCATTACTCCAACGCGCCTCCTCTTATCCATTACCACATCCACCGCGCCTCCTCTATCCATTACTCCACCGCGCCTCCTCTATCCATTACTCCACCGTGCCTCCTCTATCCATTACTCCACCGTGCCTCCTCTATCCATTACTCCACCGTGCCTCCTCTATCCATTACTCCAACGCGCCTCCTCTATCCATTACTCCACCGCGCCTCCTCTATCCATTACTGCCACCGTCCCTCCTCTACCCATTACTCCAACGCCCTCCTCTATCCATTACTCCACCGCGCCTCCTCTATCCATTACACCGTCCCTCCCTCCATCCCATTACCCAACGCCCTCCTCTATCCATTACTCCACCGTGCCTCCTCTATCCATTACATTACACCGTCCCTCCTCTTATCCATTACTCCACCGCCTCCTCTATCCATTACTCCACCGTGCCTCCTCTATCCATTACTCCACCGCGCCTCCTCTATCCATTACTCCACCGCGCCTCCTCTATCCATTACTCCACCGCGCCTCCTCTATCCATTACTCCACCGTGCCTCCTCTATCCATTACTCCACCGTGCCTCCTCTTATCCATTACTCCACCGTGCCTCCTCTATCCATTACTCCACCGCGCCTCCTCTATCCATTACTCCACCGTGCCTCCTCTATCCATTACTCCACCGTGCCTCCTCTGCCATTACCCACCGTGCCTCCTCTATCCATTATTCCACCGTGCCTCCTCTATCCATTATTCCACCGTGCCTCCTCTATCCATTACTCCACCGTCCTCCTCTTATCCATTACTCCACCGCGCCTCCTCCCACCGCGCCTCCATCCATTACTCCACCGTGCCTCCTGTATCCATTACTCCACCGTCCCTCCTCTATCCATTACTCCACCGCGCCTCCTCTATCCATTACTCCACCGTGCCTCCTCTATCCATTTACTCCACCGTGCCTCCTCTATCCATTACTCCACCGTGCCTCCTCTATCCATTACTCCACCGCCCTCCTCTATCCATTACTCCACCGCGCCTCCATCCATTACTCCACCGCGCCTCCTCTTATCCATTAATCCACCGTGCCCCCCTCATCCATTAATCCACCGTGCCTCCTCTATCCATTACTCCAACGCGCCTCCTCTATCCATTACTCCACCGCGCCTCCTCTATCCATTACACCACCGTGCCTCCTCTTATACATTACTCCACCGTGCCTCCCTTCATCCATTACTCCACCGCGCCTCCTCTATCCATTACTCCACCGTGCCTCCTGTATCCATTACCCAACGCGCCTCCTCCTCATCCATTACTCCACCGCGCCTCCTCTATCCATTACTCCACCGTGCCTCCTCTATCCATTACTCCACCGTGCCTCCTTCATCCATCCCACCGTATCCATTACCCAACGCGCCTCCCTATCCATTACTCCACCGTGCCTCCTCTATCCATTACTCCACCGCGCCTCCTCTATCCATTACTCCACCGCGCCTCCTCTATCCATTACTCCAACCGCGCCTCCTGTATCCATTATCCAACGCGCCTCCCCATCCATTACCCACCGCGCCTCCCCATCCATTACCCACCGCCTCTCCTATCCATTACTCCACCGCGCCTCCTCTATCCATTAATCCACCGCGCCTCCTCTATCCATTACCCACCGCGCCTCCTCTATCCATTACTCCACCGCGCCTCCTCTATCCATTACTCCACCGCGCCTCCTGTATCCATTACTCCACCGTGCCTCCTCTATCCATTAATCCACCGTGCTCCCTCTTATCCATTACCCAACGCGCCTCCTCTATCCATTACTCCACCGCGCCTCCTCTATCCATTACTCCACCGTGCCTCCTCTATCCATTACTCCACCGCGCCTCCTGTATCCATTACTCCAACGCGCCTCCTCTATCCATTACTCCACCGTGCCTCCTCTATCCATTACTCCACCGCGCCTCCTCTATCCATTACTCCACCGCGCCTCCTCTATCCATTACTCCACCGCGCCTCCTCTATCCATTACTCCACCGCGCCTCCTCTATCCATTACTCCACCGCGCCTCCTCTATCCATTACTCCACCGCGCCTCCTCTTATCCATTAATCCACCGTGCCCCCTCTTATCCATTAATCCACCGTGCCTCCTGTATCCATTACTCCACCGCGCCTCCTCTATCCATTACTCCACCGCGCCTCCCATCCATTACACCACCGTGCCTCCTCTTATCCATTACTCCACCGTGCCTCCCTCTATCCATTACTCCACCGCGCCCCTCTATCCATTACTCCACCGTGCCCTGTATCCATTACTCCAACGCGCCTCCCCATCCATTACTCCACCGCCCTCCTCCCATCCATTACTCCACCGTCCCTCCTCTATCCATTACTCCACCGTGCCTCTATCCATTACTCCACCGCGCCTCCTCATCCATTACTCCACCGTGCCTCCTGTATCCATTACTCCAACGCGCCTCCTCCATCCATTACTCCACCGCGCCTCCTCTATCCATTACTCCACCGCGCCTCCCCACCGTGCCTCTCCATTACTCCAACGCGCCTCCTCTATCCATTACTCCACCGCGCCTCCTCATCCATTACACCACCGTGCCCCCTCCATCCATTGCTCCACCGTGCCTCCTCCATCCATTACTCCACCGTGCCTCCTCTATCCATTACTCCACCCATCCTCCTATCCATTACTCCACCGCGCCTCCTCTTGTCCATTAATCCACCGTGCCCCCTCTTATCCATTAATCCACCGCGCCCCTGTATCCATTAATCCACCGCGCCTCCTGTATCCATTACTCCACCGCGCCTCCTCCATCCATTACTCCCACCCACCGTGCCTCCTCTATCCATTACTCCACCGCGCCTCCTGTATCCATTACTCCAACGCGCCTCCTCTATCCATTTACTCCACCGTGCCTCCTCTATCCATTACTCCACCGCGCCTCCTCTATCCATTACTCCACCGCGCCTCCTGCCTCCATGTATCCACCACCGCGCCTCCTCTATCCAATACTCCAAAGCCCTCTATCCATTACCGCCTCCTCATCCATTACCCGTGCCTCCTCTATCCATTACCCACCGCGCCTCCTCTATCCATTACTCCACCGCGCCTCCTCTTATCCATTAATCCACCGTGCCCCTCTTATCCATTAATCCACCGTGCCTCCTGTATCCATTACTCCAACGCGCCTCCTCTATCCATTACCCATTACTCCACCGCGCCCCCTCCCTCTATCCATTACACCACCGTGCCTCCTCTATCCATTATTCCACCGTGCCTCCTCTATCCATTAATCCACCGCGCCTCCTCTATCCATTACTCCACCGTGCCTCCCTCCATTATCCATTATCCAACGCGCCCTCCTCTATCCATTACTCCACCGCGCCTCCTCTATCCATTACTCCACCGTGCCTCCTCATCCATTAATCACCGCGCCTCCTATCCATTACTCCACCGTGCCTCCTCTATCCATTATTCCACCGTGCCTCCTCTATCCATTACTCCACCGCGCCTCCTGTATCCATTACTCCAACGCGCCTCCTCCATCCATTCCATTACCCACCGCGCCTCCTCTACCATTACTCCACCGTGCCTCCTGTATCCATTACTCCAACGCGCCTCCTCTATCCATTACTCCACCGCGCCTCCTCTCCATCCATTACCATTACCCACCGTGCCTCCTCCCATCCATTATCCATACATTACTCCACCGTGCCTCCTCTATCCATTACTCCACCGTCCCTCCTCTTATCCATCCATTACTCCACCGTGCCTCCTGTATCCATTACTCCACCGCGCTCCTCTATCCATTACTCCACCGTGCCTCCTCTATCCATTATTCCACCGTGCCTCCTCTTATCCATATTAATCCACCGCGCCTCCTCTATCCATTAATCCACCGCGCCTCCTCCATTATCCATTACCATTACTCCACCGTGCCTCCTCTCCATCCATTACTATCCATTACCGTGCCTCCTCTATCCATTACTCCACCGTGCCTCCTCTATCCATTACTCCACCGTGCCTCCTCTATCCATTACTCCACCGCGCACCTCCTCTATCCATTACTCCACCGTGCCTCCTCTTATACATTACTCCACCGTGCCTCCTCTTATCCTCACCATTACCCACCGTGCCTCCTCTTATCCATTACTCCACCGTTACTCCTCTATCCATTACTCCACCGCCTCCTCTATCCATTATTCCACCGTTACCTCCTCCATCCATTACTCCACCGCGCCTCCTCTATCCATTACTCCACCGTGCCTCCTCCGTCCATTACCACCGTGCCTCCTGTATCCATTACTCCAACGCGCCTCCTCTATCCATTACTCCACCGCGCCTCCTCCTCTATCCATTACACCACCGTGCCTCCTCTTATACATTACTCCACCGTGCCTCCTCTATCCATTACTCCAACGCGCCTCCCTCTATCCATTACTCCCACCGCGCCCCCCATTACTCCACCGTGCCCCCCTCTTATCCATTAATCCACCGTGCCCCCTCTTATCCATTAATCCACCGTGCCTCCTGTATCCATTACTCCAACGCGCCTCCTCTATCCATTACTCCACCGTGCCTCCTCTATCCATTATTCCACCGTGCCTCCTCTTATCCATTAATCCACCGTGCCTCCTGTATCCATTACTCCACCGTGCCCCTCTTATCCATTACTCCACCGTCCCCCCCCTCTATCCATTACCCACCGTGCCTCTATCCATTACCCCACGCGCGCTCTCCCATCCATTACCCACCGTGCCTCCTGTATCCATTACTCAACGCCTCCTCTTATCCATTACTCCACCGTGCCTCCTCTATCCATTACTCCACCGTGCCTCCTCTATCCATTACTCCAACGCGCCTCCTCTATCCATTACTACACCGTCCCTCCTCTATCCATTACTCCACCGCGCCTCCTCTATCCATTATTCCACCGCGCCTCCTCTATCCATTATTCCACCGTGCCTCCTGTATCCATTACTCCAACGCGCCTCCTCTATCCATTACCCACCGCGCCCCCTCTATCCATTACTCCACCGTGCCTCCTGTATCCATTACTCCAACGCGCCCTCTATCCATTACTCCACCGTGCCTCCTCTATCCATTACTTACACAGTGCCTCCTCTTATCCATTACTCCACCGTGCCTCCTCTATCCATTACTCCAACGCGCCTCCTCTTATCCATTACTCCACCGTGCCTCCTGTATCCATTACCCAACGCGCCCTCCTTATCCATTCCCACCGTGCCTCTCTATCCATTACCCACCGTGCCTCCTCTATCCATTACTCCAACGCGCCTCCTCTATCCATTACCACCGTCCCTCCTCTACCCATTACTCCAACGCGCCTCCTCTATCCATTACTCCACTGCGCCTCCCCATCCATTACTCCACCGTGCCTCCTGTATCCATTACTCCAACGCGCCTCCTCTTCCATCCATTACTCCACCGTGCCTCCTCTATCCATTACTCCACAGTGCCTCCTCTTCATCCATTACTCCACCATTGCCTCCTCTATCCATTACTCCAACGCGCCTCCTCTTATCCATTACTCCACCGTGCCTCCTGTATCCATTACTCCAACGCGCTCCTCTCCATCCATTACTCCACCGTGCCTCCTCTATCCATTACTCCACCGTGCCTCCTCTATCCATTACTCCAACGCGCTCCCTCATCCATTACTACACCGTCCTCCCCTCTACCCATTACCCAACGCGCCTCCTCTATCCATTACTCCACCGCGCCTCCTCTATCCATTACTCCACCGTGCCTCCTGTTATCCATTACTCCAACGCACGTTATCCTCTATCCATTACACCACCGTGCCTCCTCTATCCATTACTCCACAGTGCCTCCTCTTATCCATTACTCCACCGTGCCTCCTCTATCCATTACTCCACCGCGCCCCTTATCCATTACTCCAACGCGCCTCCTCTATCCATTACTCCACCGCGCCTCCTCTATCCATTACACCACCGTGCCTCCTCATCCATTACTCCACCGTGCCTCCTCTATCCATTACTCCACCGCGCGCCTCCTCTATCCATTACTCCACCGTGCCTCCTCTATCCATTACTCACCGTGCCTCCTCTTATCCATTAATCCACCGTGCCTCCCTGTATCCATTACTCCACCGCGCCTCCTCTTATCCATTACCCTCCCACCGTGCCCACCGTGCCTCTATCCATTACTCCAACGCGCCTCCTCTTATCCATTACTCCACCGTGCCTCCTCTATCCATTACTCCACCGTGCCTCCTCTATCCATTACTCCAACGCGCCTCCTCTATCCATTACTACACCGTCCCTCCTCTACCCATTACTCCAACGCGCCTCCTCTATCCATTACTCCACCGCGCCTCCTCTATCCATTACTCCACCGTGCCTCCTGTATCCATTACTCCAACGCGCCTCCTCTATCCATTACTCCACCGTGCCTCCTCTATCCATTACTCCACAGTGCCTCCTCTTATCCATTACTCCACCGTGCCTCCTCTATCCATTACTCCACCGCGCCTCCTCTATCCATTACTCCAACGCGCCTCCTCTATCCATTACTCCACCGCGCCTCCCATTATCCATTACTCCAACGCGCCTCCTCTATCCATTACTCCACCGTCCCTCCTCTACCCATTACTCCACCGCGCCTCCTCTATCCATTACTCCACCGCGCCTCCTCTATCCATTACTCCACCGTGCCTCCTGTATCCATTACTCCAACGCGCCTCCCCATCCATTACTCCACCGTGCCTCCTCTATCCATTACTCCACAGTGCCTCCTCTTATCCATTACCACCGTCCACCGTGCCTCCTCTATCCATTACTCCACCGCGCCTCCTCTATCCATTACTCCAACGCGCCTCTATCCATTACTCCACCGCGCCTCCTATCCATTACACCACCGCGCCTCCTCTTCCATCCACCGCGCCTTATCCATTACACCACCGCCTCCTCATCCATTACTCCACCGCGCCTCCTCATCCATTACCCACCGCGCCTCCTCTATCCATTTACTCCACCGTGCCTCCTCTTATCCATTAATCCATCCATTAATCCACCGTGCCTCCTGTATCCATTACTCCAACGCGCCTCCTCTTATCCATTACCCCACCGTGCCTCCTCTATCCATTACTCCACCGCGCCTCCTCTGTCCATTACTCCACCGTGCCTCCTATCCATTACTCCACCGTGCCTCCTCTTATCCATTACTCCACCGTGCCTCCTTGCTCCATTACTCCACCGTGCCTCCTGCATCCATTACTCCACCGTGCCTCCTCTTATCCATTACTCCACCGTGCCTCCTCTATCCATTACTCCACCGCGCCTCCTCTATACATTACTCCACCGTGCCTCCTGTATCCATTACTCCACCGTGCCTCCTCTATCCATTACTCCAACGCGCCTCCTCTATCCATTACTCCACCGTGCCTCCTCTATCCATTACTCCGCCGTGACTCCTCTATCCATTACTTCACCGTGCCTCCTTCAAATAGCTGTGGTAAATTTTAGAACTGCAATTTATTTCTATTTTTATGACAAAGTTTTAATATATAAAGATGTAATTCGATTATCTTTTCATCTTAATTACTTTTTTATTTAAAATGTTTGTACATCTGAGATAGGTCAAATTAATACATTATCGTAAATGAAATTGCTCCAAGTTTCCAAGAGAAAATAAAGTACAAAGTTATTAACGTAGATAATCTGCCTTGCAATCTTAGATGTCGGCCAGTCTTTTGGTCTTGAGACGCTTCATTTGGGGAGTGAAGAATGACGTAGTTTGTGAAGACGAGCTGACATTTTTTTAATTGACTGACGACGTCCTGTTGCAAAGACTCGTATTTATCTTCTTTCAGTGAAGCAAAATCGAAGTTTCACGAATTGAGAAAATCCGTATCCCTGAAGGAAGATAAATACGAGTCTTTGCAACAGGACATCGATAGTCAATTTAAAATTCTTTCTGTACAACTCGTGATCTATTTTCCACCACGTTCTCAAATTTCTCATCTTATTTTAGGTTTCCTTTTCAGCGGATTTTTTTTGGGTCCTGATTTTCTTTACATACATACGTTGATTCTCCGGTTGTGTGGTTCCCTCTTATGTTTCTGCTTTCCATATACGCAAACCATTTTAATTATTCATATTTTGAATATTACTACAAATAGATCTACCGTTTATTTGATTTGAATTTAAAGATAATGAGTGACAAGTTTAAAATCTTAAAATATAATTTATGCATAAATATAGAATACCTTTTCTAAGTGTTATTATAATATCTTATCTTATTTAATAAGCTTTCAAGTAATAACTATAGCAGCTATTAATAATGAAACTATCAACATTCTAACGTTCTCTGTTTATACAGGGTGTCCCAAAATTAGCCAAGGGATTTAAAATTTTATTAACTCCCTCATTCTTTAACCTTAATTTCATAGTATTATATAGAATAGATATGGGAAATAAATTTACACTTGTTGAAAAAGATTACTTCTTTTAAGTGGATTCCATTTTCAGCTTCGCACGAATGTGTCCTTTCTAAAGCATTTTTCATGACAGCTTCCAGTGTCCAGATTCTAGTGCTTTATAATGTCTGTCTGAATGCTGTCATTCCGTTGTTGTAGATTCTGAGGCTTGTTGACATAAACCTTTTCTTTCGAATAGCCGTATAGGTAGAACTTGTCAGATCCGGGGAACGTGATCACCAATTTATATCGCAACCGTGAAAAATTATTCTTTTCGTTAAAATTTTGCCTGAGAAACTGGATTGTATGAGCTCTTGTGTGACTGGTTGTCCCATCTTAATATACGGAAACAGACTGATGCATTCAAAAATTCGTCGGAGTGACGTCAGAGAGATCCAAATCTGCTGAAACAGGCTTTGAGTTGATGCGCTCGGATCTTCCTCGATAGTCTTCATTTCTGGATCAAATTCTCCTCCGTTCCTAACCGAATGTCACTTTGTGGAAATGTCATTTACAGAACTTTTACACTCAAAATTTGGAGAATCTGTTAAAACCGTAATGGTGAGATATGCCTGTTGAATTTTAATTAGGGGTCCTTGGTTTTTGTAGAAAAACTTCATTATTTATGTTTCGTTTTCACCCTTTTGCATAATTAATTTCTGAAATCTGTTTTATAAAATACCTGAAAGAAAACTAAGAAATATTCAGATATCTCGTGACTTTGACTATATATATATATATATATATATATATATATATATATATATATATGTGAAAAGTGTATATAAATATAAATAAATATATATATGTATAATTATTTATATATTATATGCGCAGTACTTATTAGAAAGCGCTCACTAACATATTTGGTTGGATATATGTGAGTTTGTGACCCTGGGTTTCACGCTTAACGATCGTCAGACAAACTGATTAATTTTTTAAAAATTTGGGTTTATGTAGATTGCGTGTATTGGTGTTATTGTGAAGTGGTGGGGAAATATTGTAAAACATTCATCAGACTTGTCATTGATGTATGCAGAAAGCGTATACATACTTGGTCACAAACTCACATCTATACATATATAAACATATATATATTTATATGACATATGTATGTATACAGGTAGTGTTGTGTCTATGCATACATTTTTGTATGTTGAAATGTTGAAATTTAAAGATTGGAAGTAACCACAAAATTTCCCCACCACTTCCACAATAATAACACGAATACACACATATATACATAAACCCAAATTTTTTAAAAATGAATCATTTTGTCTGACGATTGCTAAAAGCGTGAAACCCAGGGTCACAAACTCACATCATCTAACCAACCAATATAAATATTTATATATATACGTATTTTTTTTTTTTTTTTTTTTTTTATCACAAAGGGCAGAAGAAAAAATAGGCAAAATAAGGGAGTGGCAAGCAGAGAGTTCAAGGTTGTTCTCCATTCAGAGTATTGAAAAATTCCTTTAATTTTACTCTGAGGATATATTTGCATATAAATCGGTGACATTTTGTTCTGATTATTCCATCAGAACTTTATGATGCCACTTTGCATTTTACTCCTCATAAAATGATACTAACATGTTTTGAATGTTGATGATGGACGGGATTTTTAGCAAAAGCTATAGTTCCTTGATTTGTCATAACAGATGGTATATTCATTTTCATCTGAATTAATTATGGTATTTAATAATTGGATAAAGATTTTTGCATACTATTTATATATTCGGACTATTGTCCTTATCTTTGTCACCATATTTATTACAATAAGGACACCTGGCACAGTGGATAAAGGTGTTGGTTAGATCCAGTGACAGGACCCCAAAGCGTATGAGTTCAATATTCGGTTAAAGCAGTGGAGAACATGAAGAGAGAATTAACAGGAGATAATTGATAACTGATATTCATTAAACATGGCACTTGGAACTAGAACAGTCTACCCCAGTGAGCTCTCTAAAGTGTTCAGTTTGACATTAAACCACCTGAATAAAGCTGGAGCCGCATAACGCCAAAACGTTTTTTCTAAATATGGCGACAAATATGAGGACAATAGTCCAAATAATGTAAATATACTGTTTCCTCAATAAAGAAATATAGACAGATAGTAAAGGGCTAAAACATGATAAATATCCATTAAAAATAATGTTTAAACAAATAATGTAAAATATGGTACATAATTCATCTCAAAAATATAGAAAGATACTGAAAATTTTTTTCGTTATATTACTGCTGCTAATGCAGATATTCTGTTTTATATATTGTGAATACTGTTCAAAAGGTGTTTTTTGTTTGAAAAGCCTTTAAAACTAAAAAGTGCCTATTAGATTTACTAAACACTAGACAATGTGTTTTTCCTGCCGAGGGTAGCATAATGACTTGTTGGGACCTTATCAAATATTCTATGGTTAGATTTTGCTAAATAAATATTGTTTAATTTTGTCAAAACAAAACATCTATTTGGACAAAATATTGAAGAAAACAAAATAAAACTTCTCAAATAAAAAAATATATATACCTATATAATAAGTGGGACATATGAGCAGATTTTTTCAATTAAAGGGGCAGAACTCTAACTAATGCCTATCACAGTGGATAAAGGAGTTGGTTAGATTCCTGACAGGACCCAAAGATTGTGAGTTCAATTCCCGCGTTTTTTTTTATGGAGAACTTTCAAGGGAATTATAACGATAAATAAATTTTGACATCCATTAAATTTATTGGCACGAAAACTAACGAAAGTCTACCCCATGAAATAAAATAATTGTTTTCAGTTCAACATTGGAACCACCACATAAATTGTGAAGGCTTAAATACAACCGACAAAACATTGTGGTTGAACTTTTGGAAGTCTAAATATCCTAAAAATTTTATTTGCATTTGTTGCCATTAAAATCAAGTCTGTGCGGACTATAACCTGTTGAATAAACAGGTGTCTTTATTTTGAAATTGACAAAATTCCGAACAACAATAAGAAAATTAATAAAAATGTTTTGTCAAAATAATACAAGAAATGAACTCTGATCATAAAAAGGCAAAGCAATAATATATAATATATAATATATTAAAATTACAGTTGAAAAAAAATAATGTTTATATGCTACCATTAGTTCTACAGTCAAATGGTTATAAAATTCAAGGAAAGAAAGAAATAATACCAAGAGCTACCATTTTTATTAAAGAAATTAGTTCCATTTTATCCTTTGTCTAATTTTGGGTGGGAAGATTTTTATCCTGGTTTTAAAAACACATTCTAAAATCATAAAAACCAGCCTGCTTGGTGGGTACAGAAATAATTAATTCTTCCAAACAAGTGTGTTTGGGCAGGGTCATTATCCCTGTGTTTTGAGGTATCAGTTTTAGGATGCTTTTTATATGGTTTCCTCCTATGTATTTTCAAAGACTAATACACATCCATTCCTGCATGTCATCTTTCTCCTTTTAAATTTTTTATTGTCAACGGCTAAAAGGTTTACTAAGTATCTTTTTCTGTTTGTCATATTTAAAGGATTTTTGGGTCTTTAGGTTAAATGCACTTTAATTTAACTGTAGATAAGCTTAAAAAATTTTGCTTTTAATTTTTTGCTGCATTATTTACTTTAAGAACCTTTGTAAATGGTATGAATTTACAATTTATTTGTAGAATTATTTTTCAATGCTGATAGAATTTGTATTACCAATCAAGAGTAATCCCCTTTTCTAAAATTATGCTCTAGGCAAATATTATAATGCTTGTCAAAATCTAATGTCAGTTATAGAAATTTATAAAAAAAAAAAATAGATGTATCCGATGTAACTAATGCTGATTGAAAGAATATGTTTGTTACTTTTTAATACATCTTTCCACCATATCACATTGAAATACCAGTTTTCATACAAATACTAAAGTTAAGCCCATTGAACCTGGTCAGTATTTAAATGGGTGACCAGTTGATAATACCAGATGCTGTTTGAGTGGATATGCGCGTCGGATATAATTGATA